GGCGCGACGCTCTTCTTGTCTTTTGAAGATAAGAACAAAGCCGATCTCTCACGGTGAAAACATCGTTTGCTTCGCTCAGAAACCTGCAGCGCTAGATTGTGTCCTGATGTCTCCTGCCTTTTGAGTCTGATTCCTCTGATTCCTCTCACGTCCGAGTGATTCTCAGCAGCACTTCATGTGTGTTTGCGCTCGTCATGATAATGTCTGCAGCTGATGTCTCCTGCCTTTTGAGTCTGATTCCTCTGATTCCTCTCACTTCCGAGTGATTCTCAGCAGCACTTCATGTGTGTTTGCGCTCGTCATGATAATGTCTGCAGGTTCTTCATTATTCAGCAGATCGTTCTGGTCGAGGGTCGCGTGTAATGCAAAAAGTGAGGATAAAAGCCTCCGCAGAGTGAATGCATGTAAATGTGAATGTTATTGAAAACACTCGTATGAGACGTTACACACAGATGATGTGATATCAGATCACCCCACAACCTGCACTTATTACAGCGCTCACAGCGAATCCTGCGCTCAAACAGGCCTGAAAGCGCTTCGGAGGACCAGCGTGAAGCTGCAGACTGAAATTGTCCGTCGTCTGCTGAGACTCTGCTCCTGCGGCGCTTAAAAGCCTCCATTAAGAGTCAGAGAAACGTGGAAGCAGAAGTCGAGACGGCAGCGGGATATCATGTCCAGAGTTATGCCGACTTTTTAGCAAGTTCAGAAAAGCTACCTAACAGGGAATGTTCTCACAGCTTTCGATAACATTTTTTAAAAGTTATATAAATGTTAGGACAAAACGTACTTAAAACATTCTCAGATCATCCTTATGATGTTATTTGCACTTCTAAGAATTGTTTTTTTTTTTAATGTTTTAAGCACAAACTGAAAAAATTACATTTTAATGTTCTTAGAATACTAAAAATAAAGATTCAAATAACATTATGTTTTGGATGAAAATTAAGTTATTTAAAAATCAAAACTATAAAAATAAATATTCAAATAACATTGTCTCGCATTAAAATTAAGTTATTTAAAAATAAAAAATATGTAAATAAAGATTCAAATAACATTGTTTTGATGGAAAATTAAGTTATTTAAAAATAAAAAATAT